CACACACACACACACACACACACACACACACACACACACTCACATACGGTGTCCACAGCATGTGATTTTGATTAACTAGTTAATCCTACAGCTGAACTGGTTTGCCTGAAAGTGGTTTGATTCATTTCTGATAGGCTGATCCAAGTGTATATTCATGTAACATGTCGTAGCAAGTCCTGATCCCATGCCCTGCCAGCAGCTAGGGAGGGAAGCCCAAGTGTCTCTCTGGGTATGTCTACACTGCACTCTGAGGTGTGATTGCAGCTCAGGCTGACATACCTGCGCTAGCATGGGTAAAAATAGCAATGTAGATGCAGCAGCATGGGCTTCAACAATGCACGTAGGTACCCAGGGTCCCTGGCATTTTTGTACTGCGCATCTACATTGCTGCCTTTAGCCAGGATAGCGCAGGTGTTTCAGCCTGAGCTGCAGTCACACCTCAGATTGCAGTGCAGAGGTACCCTTGGTCAGTGCACTTTATTGTCCTTGCACTAGGGCTCTCTGTTCTCTCTTGTCAGCTTTGGTGGGTCCTTCCTCACAGCTGCACAGCTGGATCTTCCATCCAGACAAATGTGCGTGCATATTTGGTTACCTACTTTGTACATCTCCTCTTGGGGTGGTACCACTTGCCCTGTGCTGCCCTCCAGCACCATCATTTCCTGGCATTGATTAGTAGTATTTTTAATAATAATTCAAAATATGCAAAGCAAAGCTCTTTGGTATTGGTTCAAAATGCTACTGTGAGATTAGAGGAGTGACCACTCCCTTTGGGGACTGCAGAAAGAAGGGAGCAGGCTCTAATTTGTGCATATGGTGAATGTCCTAAAATCCTTTTCTCCAGGTCAATACAGAATGCCATTTAAAATTATGCAAAATGCTCTGGACCGTGTCTTGCTCTCAGAAATGCCTTTGCAGTTTTATGAATACTAAAAGAACCAGAAACTAGTACAAGCAAAGTCAGCTGCAAACAGCTGTTAAATAAACTTGCAGGTACAAATGGGCAGGAAACCGAATCATACTAGCTATGCAAGCAAACCACTCAGTGGAACTGTAGTGTGGATTTTCCCTTTATTTGGACCAAGCCAATTTCATGCAGAATTGCTGAAGCACCTTTCATACTGCAGTAGCGACCCAGAAATTCTGCAGGGTGACATATATTTAAATGTATGTAGATTGTTTTTGTACCATACTTGGAATGCTGTTGCATGAGTCAACATTAGCAATGAGTTTTACCTGTCTGCGCATTGGCAATGCTTTCCCACCCTGCAGAGTTGCAGCTGGTCTCATCCATATGGCATTCACTAGGGTGCAGTACCCCTAGCCTGACAGCAGTGATGCTCACAAGCTGTATGAACTGTTCTGTCCATGCTAATTTTTCTTGGTCAGAGACTTACGCTTTGGAACCATTTGTCTGAGGTTTTGTGCAAAGCACTCTTGCCCTTCAGACAGAGAAATGTAACTCCAGAACAAAACATGGGCTGTGCTAGGCAACAGCTGGGGTGGCAGTGGATCCGATTTTAAAGTCCTGAGTGGATAGTGGTGAAGTATCAAACCAGGGAAGGATTTGCTGTTTTGGAACTGAGCCCTAGCTAGTGGCGGATGTAAAAGTTTAGCAAGCCTTTTGGCTGCTATCGTTTCATATCAAAATCAAACTCTTCTATTTTCTGGTTCCTAACATGGACCATGCAGAGCACATGTCTGTTCTAAAATATACTTTATGAAATGTATTCTGTAGGGAGATGATTATTATACATTGAACAAGACCAAGATGGTGACACCCTGCCCCTAGCACATGACTAGCTAATGGGACTAGTTTAGCATGCCTCCTTTGAAAGTAGTGTCCTGCTGTGCACTGGAGAAGGTCCCTCTGAAATTAGCCCAGGGGTAGTTCCCTTGATGGGATATGGACCCCAGCGTTTTTGTGACTATTGAGCTCTCTGTGGTGGCAGGAAAGGAAACCCCCCATTCCTGTGCTGTTCCCCCGGGTGCAGTAGTTACACAGCCCTCAAGCATGTTGGTAAGAAAGCTTGTATCAGATGATCTACAGAGGGAGACGGGCAACCTCTGTCCAGGCAGTAAGTGAACGAACCACAGACAAAGGAGAGCATGGGGCCACGAGGCTGCTCTTCCTGTCAACCTCAGTGATCAGGTTACACCAGAGGTAGCCAAATCCGGATGACCAGATGCTTTAGAACGGATGCCAGAATCTTTTAATTTATTTATTATCATCATTATTGTTTTTAATTATTTTCTCTGAAGTCTAGACCTTGACTATACCTTAACCAAGAAATTTTGGACCTTGACAAAAAATAATTGATTGCCCCTGGGTTATACCATAGTTTGAGTGTGGTCAGACTGAAGTAGGAGCATTCTCTTTAGCTCACTCGTTTCCAGAACGCACCTAAACCGTGTTGTGATTCTTGAACAATAACGACTCTTTCTTGGCAGGTGTTAGCTAGATGTTACTGCAAGTGGACAATGGCAAATAGATGAATCAAAGGTGAGCCCCCAAAGGAGAGAAGCCAAACATTGAGATACAGTTCTGAACCTCTGGGGTCTGCAGATTTGGGCTAGAAACCTTGTTGAGAGCAACCATTCTGTGGGAGGAGCTCGGCATCTCCACTTCCAGCCCCATCAGGGATTTGTAAAAAATAGAGGAAAAAAAGTTGTGTGAGGGAGGAGAGTTATCAAGTTTTTTTCAGATCCCAGAAGAAGTTATTTGTTATTTTGGGTTAGTTTTGAGTTTGGGGCAAATTTCAGGTTGTTTCTGAGTTTATCGGGATCCATTTAACTCTCCCCTAATAACAATGGGCAAGATTCCAGCACGAGGTCCATGCACCACTCATGTCGCACATGATTTTGGTGAGACTTGAGTGGTACCTAGTCTTGGAACTAGTCCTCTGCACAGGTGTGAATTTCACCCAATGTGCTCAAAATGTTGAGTTTTAACTAAAGCCGTTCATAGATTGTAAAAGAGTAGCCAGGATCCCGGGCTGACCTGCTCTCTGCAAACAGTGTCCATGTTGTAGCAGAGTTTAGATAGTAACCAAATGGCATTGAAAACCTTCCTGGCAGCTCCAGAACCAAATCTGAGTTTTTGTAAAACATTATTCTACTACCCCAAGAGAAAAGCCTATGAATAAAGAAGAGTTTGCCACAGAAATGAGACGCGCTTTCTTAATAAAGCGTGTTTAATAAAACCCCCTTTTATGCTTGTCACATCACAGGTTCTCCTCATCCCCCCCAAAATCCACATAAGAGAGTGTAAATGATGTCCATTAGATCCACTCATTCTTTGTTATGAATAGTTGTTTGATGTGATCTCTGCCCTCAGATACACTGCCCCGTATTATGCCACTCGTGTTCACTTCCACCTGTGTTAAGAGAAGCGAAATTAGATTTCTGAGCAAACATAGTTGCATTTGCTATCTGACTGGGGCCATAAGGGACTAAAACAAAAGCAGGAAAGGTTTGCTTATTGAGGGCTAAAGTCTGGAGATCCAGCGCATTAGGGTGCCGGGAGACTGATTCCTCAAATCTTAGCATGTTTTGAGGTAGCTGTCTCTCTCTGAGGTTTTTTTCCGTTGCTCTGAGATGATGCGTCCTTGCAGAGAGGTTTTGATAAACTCCAGAGAACACAGCTCTATAAAATACAGTCATGAGTCTCAGCATCTATACAGAACTGCAGCTTGCAAATTACAAAGTAAATCTTTAACAAACCTCCCTCTCCTCCAAAAGTAAGAGAACTGAAATGCAAGACAGTTCTGCAGAGAGCTCCTTCCTCCCCCTCAGTAGTAATCTGATTTGAGAGCATTTTCCCATTTGTATCTGTTCCCCAGAGTGCAGTGATTGCACTTTCACTCTCTGTATCATCTGAGTGTTGTTCCATTTCTGTGCCTCTCAGCATGCCGTTAGAATTTGGGCAAATGAGATTCCTAAGGAATGATTTATTAACTATAATATGGTTATAGTTATATATATAATGGTTATAGTTATATATAATGGAAGATGTATGGAACTTTAAGTCAGTGAGACTGTTTTATCTTGTATGCTGCTTTATAGTGTACAGACCCAGAAGCAAAGCTTTGGTATAGACTGGCTTATCATCTGTAGATCCTTCTATTCAGGTCTGTAAAGATGCCGCTTCATCTTTTGCCATTCAGTAGCATTTTCAGGAAGATCTGAAACTTGCTGCTGTTCCTGTACAGAGAGATAATGGCAATACTCAAGCTTTGCTGAGTAATTTTTACAAGTGTCTTGTGAACACAAAACTCCTTCCCTAATGAATAAGCCAAGATGTATCGCTCATACCCGGAAACTTGCAAATGGCCATGCACCAAGTTCAAAGCATGATCTCTCTCTTTTTTCCAGTAGAATTGCACCATCCCTTTTAACTGTCAAAGTTGCCTGCCTGTAAAATTATTAATGTTGCCGTCTACAAGTGTACATTTGCAATAGATCTTGTCTGCAGTAAAGTGCCAATTAATGACCATCCTGACTGCAAATCTGTTTCCACTGCATCCCTCGTGCAGTCTCTTCCCTCCCAGAGGCAGGAAGAAGAACTCTTTGCATTGAC